GTTGATCCACTGGGAACCAATTCAACTCAAAGTCTGAGGGACTCTGCTGGAGTGATGAAAACCCTTCCTGCAAAACATATCACGAGAGATCGATACAAAGAGCGGCATGAAAAGCAATTAAATTAATTTCATTGACAAAAGTTGAAGAGGTATGTGGGAGGTTTGTGGCGAACGGGTCCACAGCATCGATTTTAAAGTTCTTCTCATTTGTTTATACAGTAAAATCATGCATGGCTCTGCACCTTCTTCTTGGACTCTTGGAGCCTCGGAACAACTGCTTTTAACTGAGATCGTGCATTTGTGGCGGCAGCTTCAAAGTTTTGGAATAACCTTCCTCTTTTATTCAAACATTCCTCCTCCATCGGTACTTGTAAAGGATCTCTCCAGACATTAATTAAACATCTAACAACTCATCTCTCTGCACACTCTCGATCATGCACTCAATCATACCAGTAACACTCTGAAAATACAGTACAATACCGTCAACCACAGCTGCCAGTACTTTTTTTTAATTTCACAGTTTAAAAAAAGTCTAAATATGTAGCTTTTATATATCAAAACTGCACAATAGCAACTTCTGTATTTGTAATATTTCAGCAAGAATCATTTTCTGAAGATAAATAATGAAAGCTCCACCTCTTCCCAGAGATGGTGATGACTAGTATGTTAAAAACCACCATAAGAACATGTAAACAATGTCAAGATATACATGTTTTCAATGGATTTTGGTAGCTTTTTGTGGTGTTAATATGTTAGTCCTTTATGTTTATTTCAGAAACCGATCTTACAAGTTGTTTTCCTGCTCTGTTTTGCATCTATGCACACATTTTAGTTGTTGCCTTTCTTATGACGTGTACAACTCCTGTTGTTTCAAACCGTGCTATACAGTGTAAACAAATAAACCTAATTTGATTTGATCATGACAGCATCATTCTCGTACAGAGTTACTCACTTCCTGAGCCGTATAAGAATTTCCCCACAGTGGAGTCTTTTGGCGCTGGTGGAGGTGAAGGAGCAAAGAGCTGAGCTGGATGGACGTGATGCAGAGCGGGACTTCTGATGAGCTCAGCTGAGGGACCCATGGGTGCCGGTTCTGGTCAAGGAGGGTCACGTTGTGTCTGACACCGAAACGACAGCTGACAGCAGCAGAGAAATGGACAGTTAGAGTCACTGGAGTCAAAATGTGAAACATGTGAGCATCCTCAGTCAGCTGAATGGACAGGAAAAGAAGAAGAAGAAGATCGTGTTGAACTTTTCATCCCCTGGGCAGACACACAGTAGCTCAAATTATTCAGTCACAGATGTTTCCCTGCTTCAAAATCGAAGTCAACTAAACCTGCTCGGCATTATAAGGCTGCTCAGCGGTCATCGATTTAGCCCCTAAGAAACTCCTCTCTGTTCATCAAAGTTATATATTTATACCATGAAAATAATCCTCTTCTGCCTTTAAATGACCCAGACGTAACTCTACACCGTTGCTTCCCCACCTCTATCTCCACACGTCTCTTCCCACTCACTGCAGTTCAGCACACCAGCTCACCTGCAACTCTGCTACACATGATGAACGATTCTGAAGGATAATGACACTGAAAGCCTCACCCGTCCAGGTTTGTTGTGTACACTGGAGTTTCAAGGTGGAAATGCTCAGCCGTTGTTGCTTATTTTCCTCATGATGTGTCTTCCAGCACATGAAAAACACAACCGAGCCTCCACAAAATGACATTTCTAAACAACCAAACTACATCAACATGATTTTGTTTTGAGTCGTGACCTATGACGTTTTGAGAAAGGTGACGGGTTTGAAAGAGCTACGGAAGTCCATATTAGGAGGTAGGATGGATGGTTGGTGGCACAAAAGCTGCATGGTTCGGTTTAGCAGAATGCAAATTACATGTTAGAAGCTTGGTTAAGGTTAGGCACTAAAAGCACTTGGTTAGGGTGAGGAAAAATGCCATATTTGGGGTTTAAATACCTTTTACTACATGTTTGAAGCATCTTCTCCAAGTCCTGATTGGTTGGCTGAAAAGGAGCAACAGTAAAGCAATAAAAAAAAAAAGTAAAATAAAAGATTAGTTGATTAGAAGCATGATATGCTACAAACAAACGTGATCCGACAGAACAAACATTTCTAATTAAGAAGGCAGTTTAGTTGTGTAAGAACATCGTTCTGTGGAAACTCGGTTGAAAGAACGCCATATGGACGAGTTAACAAGGTGAAAAACTCGATTTTCACTGAAGGGGGTCTTTATTTTATGGAAATAACTTCACCGTGTTTCTCCTCTTATTTATTCAGGTTTGAGTCATTAATGAGTCATTAAAAAAACTTCATGCTGAAATGTCATCGAGCAGAAAGCCGTGCGGAGCTGCTCCGCTGCAGACTGAGAGCTGCTGTTGACTCACATAACATTTGCTCGAGCTTAATATTAAAATAACAGGGAGAATTTTGTGCCAACATGCAGAGAACTTCTTTAAATATCATTTTTGCTTTAATTTCGAACATCCATCGTCAGCCAGATTCTTCATTTGGTTTCATTCATGCAGGGACACGAAGCATATATGTTCACATTTAGACAATTTAGAAATTAATTTATAGTCTTGAGTGCGAAGAGTTTTTGAAATGTCCACAAAAAAACAAACTAAATAAATAAATAAACATCCATCCATTATCTATACACCGCTTAATCCTCACTAGGGTCATGGGGGGCTGGAGTCT